CTGTCAATGTGTTCATATTATCTATCTGGTAGACACCACATGTTCAGGATTCGGTGAATGATCATAATAAATAATATGAAAAAAATAAAAAAGTTGTGTATAAATATAACAAATGATATTTTGGCTCTTCTATGAAACCATTGGATGGATTGAAGCAGTATTTGGTAGGTAATAGATGTCAGGCTGTGATATGATCTGCTTAATAGTTAGAAATGCATTTGTTGATACTTACATGTAGTTATTGCATGTGTATGTGAATTTGTCATGTGATAGACAGGATAAAAGTACCATGACATTATTAGTGTTACTGAGTGGGAAAGAGGATAGTAGCAATGTTTTGGTATGGATATGCCCGGTGCTCAGAGACAAACTTCCATTACTTGGTGGTATATTGAATAGACCAACCCTTGTACCAGATATTTTTGGAAATGATACTTGTTATTACCAAATCACATATTGACATTATCAGAAGAACCATCATCGAATGCAGTCTAAAATAGCGAAAAATAACAACTTATACATTGAACAGTGTTAATTACTCATCTTCTCTGCACCGCAGTGTTAGGAAAGAATTATCTTTTCAGAACAAGATTGCATCCAATTTGCATTACATAGATTCTCTTTTCGTTTTCTCTGCTCTAATAGTGATCAGAATTTGATTTAAAAAAAAATTATCACCACATTATGTGTTTTGTAAACCGGGTATACCCATCCAGACATGTCACTGAGGTATGGTATGTAGACTAGATTATTTGGGATTGACACAATCACCAACAATATTATTTACACATTTTAATTGTCAAACAAACTTTGCTATTCTGCTCTCTTGTGTAGATGTTGACGAGTGCAATAGTAATCCCTGTCAGAATGGTGGCACTTGCACAAATGGTCGTGGGAGATATGACTGTACCTGTCCCATTGGATGGTCAGGCCCTCATTGCCTTGATGGTAAGATACTAATATATGTTTATTATGTAAATGACAAAATGTACAACTTTTGTTAAAATATTTTCAGTTTTTTGAATAATTTAATTTAATAAAATAAAATATGTAATTTAATTGATATGTTGATATTGGTGCATTCTGAATCTGAATCACTTTTATTGCTTTACTGGGGTCTCAGGATTTTTATGTTGTATGAATATGCTTGGATTATGAGAAATATTCAAGGATTCTCTTGGATTCACTTTGGTCTGAATCACTGCAGGTTGCAGTGATTTGTCATAGAGGTGAATCCATGTGTATGAAAACTGCAATTCATTAAATATGAACAATTTAGTACACATTTTCCTCAACTTATGCAAATTCAGACAAACATTTCCCATAATTATCACAGGATAAAGCTACCGGTATATCGAGAGTGCAACCTTTATAGAAACTAATTTTATATTTATATTTTAGATATCAATGAATGTGCAAGCAATCCATGTCAGAATGGTGCCCAGTGTCGAGACTCTTTTAATAAATTCATCTGTGATTGTACACCTGGATGGCATGGTACTTTCTGCACACTAGGTATGTGTCATTTACTGTAGAATACTTTATTTTCGCTTGGAATTTATTTTCGCTATTTTCACTGAAGGAATGATTCCGTGAAAATAAAATCCAGCGAATATACTTTTTTTCTTATATTTCTCATTAAACTCATCAAAAATCAGTGAAAATAAATTCCATACAAAACGCCCAAAAAGCCTTTTCAGCGAAAATTAATTCCAGCGAAAATAAAGTATTCCACAGTATATTACAGATTATTTCATGGGTGGGTCAAGCCAATTCCATGGTGTTAGTGGAAAATTTTTCATGGTATTAACAATGAAGTGATTGAAAAGTATTGGTGTATATTATACAAACTTAAATGTAATTCTGAGACATGGAAAAATTATATAATATTTTCTTGACATACCATTGTATTTATATCCCAGTGAATATTTCTGCAACATCAAATCTAATGATAAAAATTTCTCAATACAATACTCTGTAAATTCAAGATGCAGCTATTAAATTAAATAAAGTCTTTTATAATAAAATCCTTGACTATGCTAATTCATGTACTTAATCACATTTTTTGATTTACCTCTAAGTATTCCATGGTTTAGTAATATTTCAGCACTTTAGCAATAAATTTATGCTAATTTATGTATTTAATCAAATTTTCTTAAATTTTCATTTCTGGTTTATTGATATTTATTTCAGATGTGGATGAATGTGCCAGTAATCCTTGTATTAATGGAATGTGTCAGGACAGTTTAAATGCCTATATTTGTTCATGTAATTTTGGTTACACTGGTAGCAGATGTGAGACTGGTAAGACATTTATATTGCAAAACTCAATACTAGAAGTACATGTACATCTCCATTAATATTGCATTTATTAATAAAACTTGTTTAACCACAGTCACACCTTATTTTACTAAAGCACATTCACTTCAAACTAATAGAGCAAATACAGTATTATGAATATTTTTTATTATACCTTGCAACAAACTAATTTCAAATTGAACCCTAAGTAATAATTTCATGTTTTCACTTCCACATGTAAGCAAAAAACATTTTTTGTCAGTTTGGATCATGGAGCACCTAAAAAATTTACTGGAAGACATCCATGTCTACCATACTGACATGACAAATTTGACACAATACGAATCATAATTATAAAATGTTAAAATAACTGCTTACTAATTTGCATGCAGATTGACTAATGATATGTTGTTAAATTATTAACCCATTAACAAATCATCTGCTGATGTCGTTATATACCATTCATTGATGGCTATCCTTGATGGTTTCAGTAAGCGATGTGTTAAGTGCCATTTTTTTTGGCCAAAAACTTATTATGTATATTTCTAAATATTTTTGCCCAAATGAACATAATTAGCTACAGTTATTGATCAACATTTTATTTTGTGAAAGCTGAAAAAAGTTGATGACCATTATGTTGAATTAAAAACTTTTCTGGGATGATTTATTTGTTGAAATAGCTTTTATGTGATGATATACATGTAGTATCAAATAATGCAACATTTTATTTTAGAAATCAATGAATGTTCTAACAACCCATGTCAGAATAATGGTAGATGTACTGAAGGTATCGGCTATTATATTTGTGAATGCCAGTCTGGTTTTATTGGAGCTAGCTGTGAAACAAGTAAGTTTCGTCGTCATCTTGTGTTTGTTTTATTCAAAATGACTTTGACTGGTAAGATGGGAAAATAAACTCATCATCATCTTTCATTTATTTTCATTTATTTCCTTGATAATAATGACTCAAAAGTTCATTCTTTAGCTTATTTGTATTGAAATTGCTGAAACTTTCTGAGAATGTATATTATTATTGAATTATTTTTTTTAAATTTTATTACCTGTATAATGGATGCAGTGTATATGACTAAATGTTAGTGGTGTTTAAAAGTTTTAAAATTAGTTATTTCTTCTCTGTAGACATTGATGACTGTTTCTCTCACCCATGTCAAAATGGAGGTGTATGTAGTGACTCAATTGATGCTTATTCCTGTCAATGTGCACCAGGCTGGACAGGAACCAACTGTGAGCTAAGTAAGTCAAACATAGTCAAAGTCTTTATCTGCATATACTCAAACATACTGGCAAAAATTAATTACACTAATCTACTAATAAATTGGTGATATTAATTGTGAAAATACCATTTGAATTGTATTGTATTATAGCCTAGTGCTTACTGCACATCTATCCTTACTTATTGACCTCTGACCTTTTATATATCACATATTTCAGATATAGATGAATGTAATTTCAATTTCTGTTACAATGGTGGTACATGTTTAGATGGTATTAATACATACATGTGTCTATGTATGCCTGGATATCAAGGAAAAAACTGTGAGATTGGTAAGTAATGTACATCAGACAATAACTTTAATAATGTGTGCAGTCTTCTTATTGGCCACAATGACTTTCAGTGGTCATTATTGTTGATTTCCAAAATAATCTCCTAATTGTTGTACTTTTAAATTATTTATTTTTAGTATGTGAGCTATGTTCTCAAGACATTAACAAGAGATTAATGGTGCATACCAAATGATATTCTTAAATAAGTGGTCATTATCATGCTTTCTTGGTCTTTCTCTTATTAAAATAATGACCTCAATGAAACATTGTGGGCAATATTCTCAAATAAGTGGTCATTATAGTGCTTCTAATAGCCATTCTCTTAAATAATGACCACACTGGTGCTAAAAATCGTGAAATAAAGACCTGAGTTGTAAATACTGATTGATTTACTGTTTTCTATTTTTATGCAGACATTGATGAGTGTGACAACAATCCCTGTCTGTATGGTGGAGTATGTTTACAAGGTGTCAACTCTTATGAATGTGTGTGTCCCATGGGAAAAGAAGGACAAAACTGTGCTTCAGGTATGCATCTTTACATACTCTCTAATTCCAAATTAGTTTTCAAATTGTATCATCTTCTATAATCAGAACTTAGATGACTGTAATAAGATTGTGTTTTTTTTGCATAGATGTTAATGAATGTGCCAGCTCTCCATGTCAGAACAATGCATATTGTACAAATGGTGACAACAAATTTACATGTACATGCTTAGCTGGATGGACTGGTGCAGTGTGTGATATAAGTAAGTAACAAATTTACATGTACATGCTTAGCTGGATGGACTGGTGCAGTGTGTGATATAAGTAAGTAACAAATTTACATGTACATGCTTAGCTGGATGGACTGGTGCAGTGTGTGATATAAGTAAGTTACAAATTTACATGTACATGCTTAGCTGGATGGACTGGTGTAGTGTGTGATATAAGTAAGTAACAAATTTACATGTACATGCTTAGCTGGATGGACTGGTGCAGTGTGTGATATAAGTAAGTAACAAATTTACATGTACATGCTTAGCTGGATGGACTGGTGCAGTGTGTGATATGAGTAAGTAACACATTTACATGTACATGCTTAGCTGGATGGACTGGTGCAGTGTGATATAAGTAAATTACAAATTTACATGTACATGCTTAGCTGGATGGACTGGTGCAGTGTGTGATATGAGTAAGTAACATATTTACATGTACATGCTTAGCTGGATGGACTGGTGCAGTGTGTGATATAAGTAAGTAACACATTTACATGTACATGCTTAGCTGGATGGACTGGTGCAGTGTGTGATATAAGTAAGTTACAAATTTACATGCTTAGCTGGATGGACTGGTGCAGTGTGTGATATGAGTAAGTAACAAATTTACATGTACATGCTTAGCTGGATGGACTGGTGCAGTGTGTGATATGAGTTAGTAACAAATTTACATGTACATGCTTAGCTGGATGGACTGGTGCAGTGTGTGATATGAGTAAGTAACAAATTTACATGTACATGCTTAGCTGGATGGACTGGTGCAGTGTGTGATTTAAGTAAGTAACATTTTACCCTTCCAAAGCCATTTTGTTAGTGTAGTGTTTGTCTGTCTGTTAAAAACTTAAATTTGGTACTCATCTTAATGTCTCTGTGGTTTGGCATTGATTTTACATTGAAGACTACACATAGTAATGCTTTTTTTCAGATATAAATGATTGTGTTCCCAATCCTTGTAAGAATGGTGGATACTGTACAGACAATGTAAATTCCTATACATGCCAGTGTGCGGAGGGATGGGATGGACTTTACTGTGATATACGTAAGTAAAATACACCATTACATTCAAATCACCAGAAATATCTTGATAATCAAATGTTTTTATTTGTGAGCACTGACTTCCTATATTCCCAACAAGTACAAGATTTACAGTGAAGTTTTTACCTCTTCAAGATTTGCTGATTTTTCATGTCTTGCGATTATCTGGTGAAATTAAAGTTGTTTTATAATACAGTATACAGTTTGAGTCACTATAGAAGGGAAAATCATTATCTCTTATCAAGTTCATATCAAAGATAAAATCCATTATTTCACTTTTTATTTCTTTTTATATTACTGATGTCAGTTTCCGGTTCGGCATCATTTGTCAACAATGACATTTTCATCATCTTTTTGAAAACCAGTAGTCTGAGTGCTTTGGTATTTAGTATACAAGTATATTTTGTGGGGTTTTTTTTGTTTGTTTTTTTGTGTCAATATCTCAAATTTTTCATTTTTGTTGAATATTTTGTGTTATTTTTAGTTTTGTCTGTTTTCTTTACTGTATACACAGAAATTCTCTGATCAAAGGCTAATTAACTATGTCCATCTACAAATGAATTTGTATTTGTTAATTTTATTTATTCCACTCAATTAAAAGATTTTTTGAATTAAATTTTTAATTGTTTTTATATCTCTATTGACCATATGTAGGTGTTGGATGTAGACATGACTATGAGATCCCGGAGTGTGATAAAATCACTATAACTACCCCAAACTACCCGTCTAACTATGATAATAATGCTGATTGTTTATGGCATGTATCGGCAGAGCAAGGTCACAGAATAGTTGTAGTGTTTGTTACCCTTGACACAGAAGCTGGGTACGACATTTTAGAAATCGGGCATGGTTTGTACGCGACTCTGCCGAATACAAGACTGCTTAGTGAATCCGGTACCGAACTTCCGGATCAGTTTACATCATCATATAGTAATCTGTGGGTTACGTTTGTGTCTGATGCCAGTAAGAATGGAAGAGGAGTTAAAATAGAATTCCAAGATGAATGCATAGGTATGTTACCACAAGTGTTATCATTTTAACCACAGCATAACGCTGAATTAAATTGATTCAATACTGGTAATAATAGAAATTGTACAACAATAAAATGTTGAATAAGATATAGAGACATAATTGGTCAGTGTGCACAGGAAAATAACACTTGAAAAACATTGAATTGCGTTATTGTTTTGTCAAGTCTTAGTGATATTAACAACATAGATAGGTGGAGGAAATTATTGTAAATTTTATTTTAAAGTGACAACAATCTTGGAAATACTGAAATTTGAGTTTCTAATACATGTATAATGGTTTACAGCACTTTTATAATATTGTGATTGTGTTTTTTTAGATAAATGTTCAAGTGTTCCATGTTTGTATGGTGGAACGTGTGTTTCTACTGGTAATACCTATCAATGTCAGTGTGTGACTGGCTATACAGGAACAAACTGTGAAACTATAGGTGAGTTATCATATGTTGGCATTCTCTATTTACTGGTATCAGTAAATGTGGATAACTTACTTAACTAACTTAGTGGATAAAAATATTTCAAGTTTTCACTCATTTTTCAAATAGGGAATCCTATTCTGTGAAAAGGTATTCAGAATTTGTGAATCTGCCATGCAATTTATGAACCAGGAATGAAATGTTTCAGTGTTTTTAAACAAGTACATTAATGTGAATATTTAATGGACAGACACTTTTATTTTCCATCTAATGGACAGAAACTTTTATTTTCCATCATGTCTAATGGACAGACACTTTTATTTTCCATCATATCTAATGAACAGTCTCTTATTTTCCATCATATCTAATAGACAGACACTTTTATTTTCCATCTAATGAACAGACACTTTTATTTTCCATCATGTCTAATGGACAGACACTTTTTAGTCCCCGTTCAGACGTAGTCCGAAAACGGGGACTTATGTTTTGCCCTGTGTGCGTTCGTGCGTGCGTGTGTGCGTCCGTGATCACC